TTTAGAAGTCCTTGAGGATCGATACTTGGATACTCCATCCATTTTATATTACTCTGACAGGTGTGCGCTTGCATCTATATAATTGTTACCACGCTTAGCGCGTGCGTTCAGCATAAACGCCCAGTCAGATGACGTAGCCATGGACTTCATTACAGGGTTATCGAGAACGGCTAAAGGTTTCACAGTGATTTGGATGATTATGGATCGCTAAACAAAGTCTGCGTATTTCATACCAGGTAAAGCCACGTATTCAGTAGAAAGGTGGGCGGAACTTTATCTGCATGAAATAGTTAGACTCCATGGCGTACCAGTGACCATGGTGTCAGATCGGGACTCCCGTTCCACGTCAACTTTTTGGCGGAGCTTGCATAAAGCACTGGGGACACGGCTCGATTTCAGTACGGCGTTCCACCCCCAGACTGATGGCTAGACCGAGCGTCAGAACCAGATTCTGGAAGATATGTTGAGGGCATGCACATTGGATTTCGGTGGTTCTTGGGACAAACACCTGTACTTAGCAGAGTTTGCATACAACAACAGTTATCAAGCGACCATTGACATGGCCCCATATGAAGCGTTATATGGGAGAAAGTGTAGGTCGCCGGTGCATTGGGATGAGGTCGGTGAGAGAGTCCTGTTGGGACCAGAATTGGTACAAGAAACTAATGGCGTCATCCAAAAGATTAGGGCAAGAATGCAGATGGCCCAAAGCAGACAGAAGAGTTACGCTGATGTTAGGCGAAGAGCATTGGAGTTTGATGTCGGTGACCACGTTTTTCTCCTTGTGGCACCAGTGAAGGGAATCCTACGTTTTGGTAAGAACGGAAAACTCAGTCCAAGATTTATTGGTCCCTTTGAGATCTTGGAGCGCATTGGCCCGGTCGCTTACCGGTTGGCTTTGCCACCGTTGTTGATTGCAGTGCATAACGTGTTCCACGTGTCCATGTTGAGAAAGTACGTCCATGACCCTTCACACGTCTTGGATTATGAACCACTGCAGGTAGATGAAACCTTGTGTTATCAGGAGGTACCCATTGAGATCGTAGCAAGAGAGACCAAGGTTCTGCGGAATCGGGCAATTGACTTGGTGAAGGTCTTGTGGAGGAATCACCAAGTGGAGGAAGCCACCTGGGAAAGGGAAGACGAGGTTAGAGCCCGGTACCCTGAATTGTTCGAACGACGAACTTTCGAGGACGAAAGTTTTTAAAGGGGGGAAGTCTGTAACGCCCCGCGTTACTCAGGTTAGTTTACCCTCGAGTCTTCGGGCCTCTTTTCTTAGAAAT